TCGTCCGAAGCCTGATGAATCGGTGAAGCGAGAGGTGAATCGATGTTCCGGATGTAGAAAACGCGTTGGATTGACTGGATTTAGGTGCCGATGCGGCGATTTGTTTTGTGCGGAGCACCGGTATTCAGATCGTCACGACTGTAGCTTCGATTACAAGGCCGCTGGTCGCGAGGCGATAACGAGAGAGAATCCGTTGGTGAAAGCGGCGAAGATCGTTAGAGTTTAATCCGTAGATTGATCGATTACCAAAAAAATGAAAAAGAATCTGAAGATGATGAAATTTGTGAAAACTCTGGGCTGATTGTTGAAATTTTCCTTTGGAGTGTTGAGGATTAATTCCTCGAAATATCCTCTCGATCTTTAGGAGAGAGAAACATGAGGCAACTAGAAAAAAAGTCCTTGATGAAGATGAAGATGATGATCGTTGTGTTTTCTCAGATAATTATGTTCCTATTTTATTTTATTTTTTCCTTTTTTTTTTTTTTTTTTGGCTTGTTCGAAAACGAAAAGAGAGGATTATCGTGGCCTGTCAAGATGATGATGGTGTTTTTTTTCTTTCTTTTTGTTAATTTCTTCCCTTTTCTCTCAAGATCATTTGTCGATTAATTTTTTAAAAAAATTCAAAATATAATTAACCCATTAAATATAAAATTAAAACAAATAAGAAATTAAAGGAAATCAATTGTTTTTTTTGTTTAATTTCCAAATTTTGTTTTATTTTTTGTTATTTTATTTAAAATTTAAATTTTAAAAATTGTACACTGTTTGACATTATTATCAGTTTCGGGTTCACAAGTCACACCAATAATTAACATTAATGATAATTATAATTCATAAATTAAAATTTAATAACGAATTAAGTTTCGGAATAAAAAAGTGGAACATGAAAATGATATTAAAAATAAATAAATATTAGTATGGCCCCACTTGCCAAGCTGTACTAGGAGGTTCGACCCCACTTAGAGAAACCAATGACCAACTGCCACGTCATCTTTTCAACCCAACCCTTTACTTTCTTAAGTAGGGTTATTATTATTTTAAAATTTTTATTTTTTTAAATTATTTAAAAATTTTATATTTATTTACTATATATTTAAATACATTACAAAGTCAAATAATTTACATGAGGAGTTAAAAAACAGATTATTTTTATTTTCATTAAAAAAAAAAAAAAAAAAAAAAACTCAAATAATTATTGCACTGGTACCGGAAAAATAATGTAGCGGCAAAGTATGAGGCGTCAGTAAAGTAATGATTCCGGTGATCTACTTACTCCAAAAATAAATAATATACACAAAAAAAACCATATAATTAAATTAATTAAAGCTGGACAGTCCAATAATTTCCATTATTTTTAGGGTTAGATATTATTTTTTATTATCAATCATGATCAGATTTTATATTTTTTATTTTCATTAAATAATTTTTTTTTTTTTAATCTCTACCTATTTTATAGGCCCTTACTTAGCTTTGAGGTTTATAAGTTTTCAAAAATATAATTCAACCTTTAATATGAAATAAAAATTAATTACTCTTATTTACGAGTGGAATGATTAGCATTAAAATATTTAGAAAATATTGAGCCATCTCGCAGAGAGAAATGTCAAGTCAATCGAACTATATCCGCTACAATGCAATTATTTAAGCTAAATCTTAAACGCTGATTCTTTTTTAACTTTCAGCTTCATCTCCATGCTGTCGAACACTTCAAATTGAGTAAATGATCATTGCTTTATCATCATTCTTGTCATATTTGTAAAAACATTTGTATGTGAGATCTCACATCAGATATAGAAGAAAACGAAATATTTCTTATAAATAATTTATTTATAACAAATGTGTTTTAAAACTGTGGGACTGACCGTAGTATGTAACCGGCTAAAGTGAACAATATGCTTGAACAGTTACAAAATGTATCAGAACTTAACATCGAGCGACTAGCGTTGTGCCAGAAGACCTAAGGAAGGTCCTCTGTAAGTGCCATACATCATCCGCATCGGATAAAACCCCAGCTTCCCCGCCAAGCTTCTTGAACGAAATTAACGATGTCCGCCAGGGAAGTCGGCCATAGAACTGCGAGGTTTTTCGTTGGCCACTATACGTATTCTCCCATTGACTTCAGTCTTCTTCGATCAAAGAGCATTCTACACGAGGTATTGTCTCTAATTCCTCTGCCCTCTGTTTATCAGCTGAAGTTTGTCGCATTTTCGGATTATTTTCCGTGCCTTTTTATCTGCCAAGATTACTGTTCAATCGAGCGAATGCAGAAAGAATACTTCCGCAATCTGTTACTATTCGACCATGAACTTTCAATCGTATTCCTACATTTCAACCTGCGAGCCGTTCTATATGAATTTCTGCTTATCCACTTTTATGATTCCGAACTCTAGCATGGGATTCTCACCTTGTTCTTTCAAATCGTCCTGCAGTGGAATCGCTAACTTGTAGTTCACCTTTTTCTGTTTGGATTGTACAATTTTTTTAGTGTTTATCTCCATTAGAATGTTGAACTTGCTGCGATTTGTATGCTTACTAGTATGTAGTTTATGTTGCAAGCTCTGTGGTAAACGCGTTTTGACAAACAGACCAATTTGATTTTCAGCTACGAATTGCTGAAAGCAGGATTTTATCTATAATTGCGAAACCTAGGTCAATCCCGCCATTAGAATAAGCAAAACCTCGGAGGCATAATGCATGGTATTGTAGAGATTCAACAGTTTTTGGTAAACTTTTACCTTGGTTGACATTGTTATGTATTTCCTCTTGCAATGCGGTTTTAGCCCAAGTTTCTTTGTTCCTATTATTGTTTTCTTCAATAGTTGAAACTTAACTGGATGTTTTTTCTCCTTCTTTTATCTGGTTTTAGATATGGAGGCTGACCAAGATCACTCTCTCAATCTTGGAGGGTCCTTTGTTGAAGGATTTATTGCGATCCGGACTACTGGGTGAACAATTCAAAGTTGAGGAGGTATCATAGCATCTTAATCTGAAATGGAGAGAAATTGATGAGGGAATTGAATTGCAGCAGAAATTACTTGAAATGGTTCGGTCAAAAACCTCTCTGATAACGAGTAAGGAACAAAAACTGAAAGGGCATGAAGACCAATCAAATTCATTGCGCACCGAATTGACTAGCCTCCAGGTAAAGTTTGATGAGCTCCAAAAGAAGCTTAATGAGAAGACAGATGAAAAGTTGCAAGAGAACTTGTTCGAAAAAATTGAATTACAAGCTTCAGAAAGTATGAACATTGAACAGATATGAATAGTGATCAGCAAAAAGAGAATCAGAAGGAGCTTTTGAAGAAGGCTGAAGTTATTGAAGAAGGAAGGAAACTGCAAAAAAATTTTGCTTCAGCAAATTAATTCAGCTGGCTCAGAAATATCAAAGAACAAAGTGCAGCTCGAGGAATTTCTGAAAGAGAAAAAACAACTTTTAGCCGAGTTGAATGTCTCTCTGGAGAATATTAATGAGCTTAAGTCGAATCCTTTGATAATGAACGAGGAAATGGAAGGCAACGAATATGCCAACAGATTGAATCAAAGCCATGCGAGTTATTTTGTGAGATCCCACCTCGGCTGGAAAGTGGAATGAAGCATTCCTTATAAGGGTGTGAAAACCTCTCTCTAGAAAACACGTTTCAAAACCGTGAAGTTGACGATAATACGGAACATACCAAAGCAGACAATATATGATAACATGGTCTTGGGCTGTTATAAATAGTATTAGAGCCAGACATCGGTCAATGTGTCAGTGAGGACACCGGGTGTGAGAGCTCATATCGGTTGGAAAGTGTAATGAAGCATTCTTTATAAGGGTGTGGAAACCTCTCCCTAGTAGACGCGTTTTAAAACAGTGAGACTGACGACAATACGTAATAGGTCAAAACGGACAGTATCTACTAACGGTGAACTTGGACCGTTACATACTGGCCGAGAAGAAGGCAAGAAGAGGCATTATAGATGTGTACAAAAGGCTGAAATCACAATATGACTTCCTTTGCAAAAAATTTGGCCTAAACAGGAGAAAATGGGCTTATAATCAAGATCTTGCATCCTCACCAGGTAACCACCTTCTTCATATTATAAATACAATTCCCCCTTCTTAATGTGCATTTTGTTTTTGCTGTAGCCACTGATGAGCCAAATTTCCTCAAACGTTATTATCCATACTCTTATGTCTTAATAATTATCTATAAAATGTGCATCAGTGGTCTCCATCTTATTGGAGATGTACAAGGACTCGTCGTCAAGTGCAGGCGGGGCGTGACGCACTTGACGATTTTCTTCGAGAACATCATAGACAATTTAAACTAAGGCTATGAAGGAAAGAGTTCATAATTTTGCTCTTCTTGAAGTGGTTGTAAAAGACATCAATATGGATGTCTCACACAATGAGACCCAGAGATTTGAATGCTTTTTAATCCACCACACAATCAGCACCTACCAGTTTTAGTAGCTAGCAATAGAGGCGTGGAGCCAGTGAGAAGGAATGCAAGCAATGCAATGCATTAAATTTTATGATGCTGTTCTTCAAAATGATGGTAACTAAGAAACCCATTGTTTATAATTGGTATTTACTCGTTTCTTTGAGGTTGAATGGTCGAAGGCACAAACCCGAGTACTCTAATAATAAAAAGGTTAAATTATCGAAGTACCCTCAACAATGAGATTGGTTTCAATTATAGGTTAAAGTTCAATAGAATCATTTGTGTAGATTTTTGTTGTTAAATAGAAGACAAAAATTTAAAATTAGAGTTACCTAAAAAAAATTAAAATTGGAGGCATAATATTGAGAGGAGTATTTTTTCTAAGTAAATTTATAGTTTATGAATGTAACATAGAAATCTATTAAAAATATTTTGAACAAATATTAAAAAGTTTGGAGTATTTAACCAAAAAAAAGAAAAGAAGAAAAAAAAAAAGAACTTACCAATAATCTAATAGGCCACGTACTTTTTATTTTTGGTGTTATTTAATCGAATTTCTTTCGGACATTTGATACGGAACTGAATTTTTTTCTTTTTATATTTTATAACGGCGAGCGAAGGGCCATCTCTTCTACTTCACTTTTGTGCGCGAAACACAAATTGCTGAGCCTGAAGGTCAATTCGATTGTTCCTCTAATTCATCTTGCCATCGTTAATCGGCGTTTGCGGAATCCAGTCGGCGTCGAGTTTTGCAGTCGAAGCCGAAGATTTCCATTCTCAGATTCAAGATTGTTCACGGAGCGTCTGGGTCGGTTAATTATTTATTTTGATTCGTTGAATTATATTAGTTACTCGCTGTCGGTCGTTTTGGATTCTGTATTTTCGTTTGTTTTCACTTTTGATTGTGATTATTCTTCGTAGGCTTTTAGGTTCTGGAGTTAGGGTTTCTTCGATATGGTTTCTCTTTAATTACGCGGATGTTTATGTTTTGTTTTTCCACGCACGCAACATTTTGTATGGGCTCTCGTGATTCTTACCTGCACCAACAGAAATACGGAAACATTGGAGTGTTATTTGTTAATCGTCGTCTGTTGCCTGGTTGTTGTTAATTTCATTTAATATTCGCCGTTTTGATTTGGTTGGTTTACTGTCATGAGTTTTTTTTTTTTTTTTTTTTTTTTTTTTCATTGGTGTTCGATTGGATAAAGGCCACCATGTTTAAGCAGAGAGTGGTATGAGATTTTGTGAATGATTGTTAATATCAATTCGTCCGTGCAGGCATGTTGTTTCTTTTCTTTCTATAAAGTGGCACTGTCTTGGTGTCTTTGTGGTATGTCGATGGAAGGTGCTGATAAATTTAGGATCTGCGAACTGTGTTTATATTTTTTTTTCTTCTTTACATAGAGATGTGGGATTAAACAATGTTATGTTTAATTAGTGAAGAAGGCCGGGGGCTGTTTGAAGGGAGAAGGTTTCATTTATCCTTTGGGATTTCCTTTTTTTTTCCTGGATGATTTGAATATTGATTTTATTGTTTCAAAGATTGTCTACTAAGTTTGGTTCTCTCCTTTTACATCATCGTTTAGAATGTTTGGTTGCTTGTTTTTCTAATGATGATTCATTCTTAGCAGCTCGAGTACTCAGTTCCTCTCGATGGACAAAGGAATGCCCCCTACCCTTTTTGTCAACGATGGTTCATTTATGGAAAGGTTTAAACAACTCCAACAGAAAAATGGGGATAAGGATAAGGATAAGGATAAGGATAAAGGTGCTATCTCTGAGGAGCCAAAACCAATCAAGATTATAGCAGGGACTTCTATTCCACACAGTACCAGTAGTAAAACTGGTATACAGTTTAAAGGTGGTGAGATTCGTAAGACTGCTCCAAGTGGAAAACTTGCTTTCAGCTTGAAACAGAAGTCTAAGCTTGTGGCGCCTTCTGTTAAGTTAGGAGCAGATGAGGATGAAGATGAATCTGATGTGGTAGATGCATCTGATCATCTACCAGATAAGCGTCAAAAGTTAGGTCCACAAGATGGTACTGAGCAGTCAGTAGTTCAATCTGGTGATGGTAATTACTACTTCATACTGATACTCCTTTCTTGTTATGATCAATGGCAAGTACTTGTCATAGTTTGTAAACCAGTAAACCTGTTCTGTTTAAGGGGTTTTTTGGTTGCTGTGGTGAACTGGTTACATAATTTCAGCCGTTCTGTTGTATGCATGTTCAATACATCATGATTCAAATTTTGTCATCCTAGAGTATGGCTAGAATAACTCTGTTGGCTTGTTTTATATATTTTATTGACAAGTTGACTCTATTTATTCTCTTGAATAACTGTTATCTATTGGTGTTGGAAATTTATTTGGGATAGGAAGGTGAGTAAATAATTTATATGTATATTTTTAATTCGCTAAGGCTGAAAGACCTCGATTGATTTCCGTTGAAAAGAGCTATGTTGTAGTATGTTCTTTTTCCTGCCTGTACCTTTCCTTTGTATTTCCAATTTTAAATTGGTCTATTGAAGATTTCTTCCTGATTTCATCTTCACACTTTAATCTTTTTACCAACATTTTTTGCACAAAGAGTTGCGCCTTGTTCTTGAATCTACAGACAACCATTATTGTTCAATCAGGGGGTTTGGGCAACGTAGAATTACCATGTAGGTTGTAATCCATTTTACTTCAATTAACTGCATTGGCTTTTGTTCAGACCGTGAGTTTAGATCTCATCTAAAACTTGGACTGCTTCAGATGTAGAGTTCAAAGCACTCTTGAAAATTTCTTGTCTCATGAATGCAGTGTATACCTTTAATACCTTTCAACATTGGTGGAAGAGATGTTCAATGAAAGAATTGGAATATGTAGCAGCCTGCTGCAAGAGTAATTTGCATTCACTTGTTCATGCTCTTGGTTTTAATCAGTTTTATAAGTGATATGCAGCACCACCTTCACCAAGTGATCCTACAGTGAAGAAAGTTGCCGACAAGCTAGCAAGTTTTGTGGCTAAACATGGAAGGCAATTTGAGCATGTAACTCGCCAAAAAAATCCTGGAGATACTCCTTTTAAGTAAGTTCTTGTCGTGGTTCAAAAAGTTTCCATGAATTGTTCTTTCTTAACATTTCCCTTTCTGCTACTGTTTCTTGTATCTATGGCTTCATTTGTTACTTGATGCTTTTCTTCTCAAAAATGATTTTTTAAAAAATGAAATGTTTATTATATTTGCAGATTTCTGTTTGACGAGAGTTCTGCAGATTTCAAATACTATGAATATCAACTAGCTCAAGAAGAAAAAGTTCTTTCGCAGACCGTCGAATCTAAAACATCCAATGGTAGCCCTCTCTCTTGTTTCTCATATTATAACCTTTGAAAACCAGAATTGGTGTTATTATGAAAATTGTGTTACATTTGGGTATTAGTTTTTGTTGTGTACTTGTGAACTTTAGGTGTCAAGTTGGGGAACTTTTTGGGATTAGAAGAAAATAAATTTATTCTGAAATAAGACTTATCTTTCTTTCTTTTTTTGTAATTTTTTTCCTTTGAAATATGAGGTCCCTTTTCTTATGAAAGATATTAGTCTATAGGGGCTGGCTGCCTCCATTTTTATGTGACTTTGAATTGTTTTTTCACGTTCATTTTTCTCTTTCTATTTGTAGATGGTGGGAGCATTCAAACTTCTAAGTCAAGGGTTGGTTCCCAGAAATCTCTCCAGCAGTCTTCCTCATCAAATTATCAATCCCCTGCCTCTGCTCTATATGAATCATCTGAGGATTCAAGAACTTCTGTGGGTTCATCTAATACTACTGCATGGTCTGAAAGGACAGGTAACTGTTTGACACCTTGACTTCCTTTTGTCTTGTAATCTTCAAATTAAGGTGCTGTCCCTAAAATTCAACTGAGAGTAGGGAAAAATGGGCATCTTATGTCCGAAATTGTCGGAGAAATTTAGCCGAAAGCTGTTGAGTGCTCACCATGTTCAATGAGTTAACAATTGTACTTGTCATATTGTCTTCACATTATAAGGTGAATCTAGGCCACCATCAAGTGGAGATCCAATTGCAATGATGGAATTCTACATGAAGAAAGCTGCCCGCGAAGAGAAGATGAGACAACCTAAACAGTCAAAAGATGAAATGCCCCCTCCCGCATCTCTTCAAGGTATTAATACCTGCTGGGGTATACCTGTTTGACCATTATTTATGTACCTTTTAGCATTATTGGTGCAATTGTTTGAATTTCCTTTTCTATATTGGGGGTGCTTTGCAGCTTCTGCTTCTTCAGGGAAAAGGGGGCATCACATGGGTGACTTCATTCCCCAAGAGGAGCTTGAAAAGTTCTTAGCTACGTGCAATGATGCATCCGTCCGGAAATTTTCTAGAGAAGCCGCTGATAAGGCGAAAATTCAGGCTGATAATGTGGGGCACAGACTCCTATCTAAAATGGGATGGAAAGAAGGTTCCCTCTCTCTCCCCCCCCCCCCCCCCCCCCCCCCCCCCCCCCCCCCCCCCCCCCCCCCCCCCCCCCCCCCCCCCCCCCCCCCCCCCCCCCCCCCCCCCCCCCCCCCCCCCCCCCCCCCCCCCCCCCCCCCCCCCCCCCCCCCCCCCCCCCCCCCCCTCGAACCCATCTTTTCTGCACACAGACACATTGCACATGCCCCAGGGCACAACCATTGGACTTAACAATGCCAGTCTGTAGTCGCATTAAGCTCGTTCTTAATTAGATCTATCTCAAGTTCATTTTCCTGAAGCTTTTGATAATTCATTAGACTTCTTTTCCTGGAGTTTATATTTGAACCAAAAGTTTAGATTAACGATTCCAGTTCCTATGAAAATGCATTTGATGACGGAGGAACCTTCTAATACTGGCAAACGCGAATCGCAGGGGAGGGTCTGGGAAGCTCTAAGAGTGGTATTGCAGATCCTATACTGGCAGGCGATGTAAAAACAAATAACTTGGGAGTTGGAGCACACCAACCTGGCGAGGTGGTTCCAGAAGACGATATATACGAGCAGTACAAGAAGCGCATGATGCTTGGTTATCGTTACAGACCAAATCCACTGGTATTTATTCACGACACACCCATTTTAGTTTGAAGTCGCTTACTTCAATGCCTATGTTAATCAAGTAGTTTTGATGCATGTTTCGTTCTTTGGTTTTGGTAGAATAACCCCCGGAAAGCATACTATTGAATGATGATGGTTCTGCTAGGCGTGATCGATCTGGGCTATGTTTGAAAATTGTGAGAAAAACCGAACTCCGTTGTTGGAACTGAAATTAACTTGTTGATCTAATGGGTATTGTTATTGTGTTAAATATGCATAGTTTGAAGCCTTAATCACTTCTTTTTGTTTCTCTTAGTTCCATTGTCTTGCTAAAAGCTTATCCTTCTGCAGTCTTTCTTGGTAGTCGAACAAGAGATGGGAATTGGGAATGGGCCTGGCCGGCCCATCTTTAGGTTGATCAAGTGTATAGGATAAAGTATGGCATCATAGAGGATCTGAATAGTCAACTTCTTCAGAAAAAGATAGAATTAAAGAAGAAAGATTGTTAAAGAAGTTTGGGTGAAGGGAGAAAATTATAAATGGAATATGATGATCCATAAGAATAAGAATGGGAAGCTCCCACACCCGACGCCTCCGGAAGGGGGGCATTATAATGAGGTGTCCTTGTTTCCCGCCATTAATACCAGAAGTTCTTATCTTTGTTTAGAATCTCAATTATTTGATGTGTGTCCCTTTATAGCCATACATAGCTTTAAGAACCCAATTTGCTGAAGATGATGAAGATGATGCTCTATGTATGCTGTAGAAGCTTGAAGAACCCAATTTTGAAACAAAAGGAATAAAATATGAACACTGAAAGGAAGATGATAAGGCCACGTTTGGCAGTGCTTACCGACTTTTTGGTGGGATTTTGTGCCTAATCTTAGTCGTAATTAGTTTTGTCTTTTCGTGCCGCAGCGAAGGGTATCGGTTCTTTTTAAAAAGCCATCTCCTCCAAATCTGTGGTCCAAATTCCTCTTTTATCCCTTTCTTTTTTTATTCCATTATTAAATGTCTTTTTCCATCCTTTTTCTTGCATTTTTTTGTCTCTAAAATTTTTTTAAAATACAAAAAAAAAATCATTATTATATTATTTTATCATCTAATATTCATCTTATTTAACACCGTAATTTTATAACGAATTTGAGTAAACACTTTAAATTATTAAATTAAAAAACTCTGTAAAAATTTATAATATATCAAATTATTTTTCTTGTAACTATTTAATTTCAATATTCCTAGTTGAAATGGTTACATATCATTAAATAAGAATCTTGTTAAAACTAGGAACTAAGAGCTTCCCCCTTATCATATCAACATTTAAATTATGTAGCTATTATATATTTTTTTAAAAAAAGTTATAGACTTGGATAGGCATAGTCAAGCAATTTAAGTTAAAATAATCTTCCTTTTATCTTGTAAGTATATTTGTTTAATATCACCACAACCTTCTCTTTCTTATAATATTACATTACACATTGGTGAGACACATTATTTTGATCTCCATCTCATTTTATATACATATAAACTAACTATTTTAAACTCAAGTTGTCACGTTAGAGTTAAAAAATTTAGACATTTTTATTCCGACCGACTCGAAAATGGGGTTCCAACCAAACTTTTAAAAATATTTTGTGATTTGTAAATATTTAATATTAAAATTTTAGTTATTAATGTAATAATATATATGGTACATAAATATGATTTTTTTTTTAAATAATAATAAAATAAATAAATAATCCGACCCAACTCAACTCAACTAATTCTTAGGGTTAAGAGTGTAAACTCTATTCAAGTTGTTCAGGTCTTCAACCCAACCAACTTAAAATTTCGAATTAATTCAAAATATTTTTATCGATCATTTCACGGGTAGCTAAATTCTTCTTCAATTTCTCTCTCTTTCTCACTCGGGCAATAATTTTTAGGAATGGAAAAAAAAAACATTAAATTAGAAATCTGTGATTATGATAATTTCTACTTTTAGGTGCTTGATATTAAAAAATTTCATTAATTTAATTTGTTATTATTATTATAAATAAATAAAAAAAAATACAAAAACAAATAGCTTCAAATTGTCATTTGGGACGACAACAAGAATGGGGTGACGTAAGCTTCTCAGTCACCCATTTCAAACTTTTCAGCTTGTATCCCATTGTACGGACCATGATAAGATGACGTCATCCAAGTATTTTAATTATTGCATTTTTTTTAATAAAATCATTTTAATTACCTTTAAGTTATATTTTAGTTAATTTCTTTTTTGTTATTGCTAAATTCTATTTGACTTTTGACTTCAATTTTACTCTGATTTAGCTCCTCTACCTGGTTGATATAAATTTATTCATTAATTACAGTAAGCTTATTGGTAATTAAATATTAATAAAATAAAATACCACCTAATTACAACAGAGAAATTATAATTAAAAAATAATTAAAAAAAGATTAAAATTTCATTGTATTAGAGTAGTGAATAGACAAAAATATATTAGGAAGACGAAAAAATATATATAAAGTAAATAAATTACAAATATTTAAAGAAAAAATATATTATTATATGGAAAAAGGGTAAAAAAAAAACGTGATAATTTTGTAAATATTAATAACATTAATTTGACCCTACACAAATTATAGTTTAATAAATGGTAATTAGATTATAGCAAGAAAATTTTCAATTTTGTCGGCTAAACTGCCCTAGCTGACTTTTAAAAATATATATTTTAATGTATTTATTTATTCATGCAATAAATAAATAATAAAAAATAATATTTTTCTTCCCTTGGTTGAAATTCGAAACCTTGAAACCGCTTTTAATAATGGCGGTATTCTTGACTTAGTTGTCAAAGTCTTTAAGAACACGAGGTTTACCAAATTTAATTATTTTAATTATTTAATTGTATTTAAAATCCATAAGTAAGTAAAGATTGTTTGTCGTATTCCATTAAACATTTAATTGTAAATACCAAATTTTGCTAATTGAATATATTTAAATTTTTATATGAAAATATTTATTTTAAATAATTTATCAAATTTAATTAAATCACAAAATTAATGTTTTAAATAATTATTTTGTAGACTTTTATATATACATCATTTTCTCAAATAATTTATTAAATATTTACCGGTAACGAAAAAAGTATGGTTTAATTTAAAAATTAATACAATGAATAAAAATGTCATGTGGGTACTATGTGAAGTTTTTAATTCACATTCATACGTGTCGTAAATAAGAGGCAGTTCGTAGTTGACTATTTCAAAACACGAGCACCAACTTGTGTTGTTCCTAATAAATTTAGTTGACTTTTTTTTTATCAAAGTCAACTCCTAGTTGTGTAGTGAGTATACCAACCATCAATTCGAACTTTTTGTTTCATTATATGTTTGTTGCGAATACTCTGACCCGGTAACAACCGTAATATTTAGAGCTTAAATTAATATTCAATACGTTTTAAAAAAAGTATGCAACTGTTAGAAACAGATATATTAAGATAATAGAAGAACTTTAATTTTTTCCCCTATTTATTATTATTATTATTATTATTATTTTGCAAATAATAAATTAATACATGTATTTTTTTTTTTGTTAGTAGACACGATTCTCCACAATGGTATAATATTGTCGTACTTTGAGCTTAGACCCTAAATTAGTCAATATGGGACTTTCATCCAACACCTGCCCTCGAACGAGGTATGAAATTTAATAAGTTTGTCAAAATGAATACAAACGAACTAATAAAAGAAATACTCGAACTTTCACGGACAGGCTTGTTGGAAGATGCGAAGAAAGAAATAGTAATAATAATAATAAGAAGAAAATAATTGATATTATTGTAGTATTGATTCTCGATTGGGTAATCTTGAATAATTGAGAAGGTTTGACTTTTATAGATTCTAACTCGGAGGCTGACTCGGGTGAGTTATGGGGCGAGTCAGCTATTTTGGATCCATATAGAAAGCATCAATATATGGTTATGCATTTAAGATGGCTTCATTTTCAAGTAAAGACTTTTCATACAATAAAATTTCTTGTAGAAGCCAATCAAAATATCTCTCCCCAACCTTATCTTCCTATTTTTTGTTTTTTACTACGGTCTCCGATCAAAGAATTTATTTTAATGTCTTAGTTGTTTGCGAGACGTACCAACAATATAACATGTCAAGTTAGGTAAGATCTCATATCGGTTGAAGAGAAAACATAACATTTCTTATAAGGTTGTAAAAATTTACTAGTGGTTGACGGTGATACGTAAGAGGTTAAAGTAAACAATATTTACTAGTAGTGAGCTTAGGCTATTACAAAATATTCCGCGTAAAAATCTCCCCTTAACTGACGCATTTTAAAAACCTTGAGGGGAAGTTCTTGAAGAGAAAGTCCTATCAGTATTTCACGTTGTGATGAATTAAAATTATTATTCATTTTTTGTTTTACAGTGAAATAATATATTTAAATTTGATGGTTTATGGTTGGGGTTTCTGGTAAATTTGATTTTTTTTTTGAATTTTTACGTCATTAAAATAGAATAAAATTTTGAAAATTTTCATATATTACTAATCTTATAGTATTTTTTTAAAAAAAAAAATAGTTTAATGAATAAAACCACAATTATCGGTCAAACTTTTATCCCTATTCAATTAAAAATAGTTTCACTAATTTTATTTTTTTATTTTTTTTATTAAGAATTTAGTCTTATTTATTTATTTTATCCAAATGGAAATTTGGCAATTTTCTTGATTTTGTTTTAAAATAATTAATATTAAACTTTATAGTTCAAATATTGTTTATTAAGTGAACTGTGTAGTTTAATATATAAGCGGAATGTCTTACGAAAATAATAGCAAAATGAATAATAATTTTTCATTGTTTTAAATATTTATATATATAATAATGTTATTTTAACAAAAATGATAAATAAATTGAAAAAACTACGTCAAAAATCCGGAGGGGGCAGAGGATGACCGTTTTGGTCAACGAAAATCTGATGTCACGGATCAGATTTCCACATTCATGAATGGCATTTTATGTAATAATTTGCAAAATCAAGGGTGTTTGGATAATACAAACCCCTTAAATATATGAACAGGCGGCTCAATGGGTTATCGCCATTTGCTTGTCTTCTTCTTCTTCTTCTTTTTTTTCTACGCTTGGAAGTTATAGTGAAGCGTTTTCAGTGTAAGAATCATCAATTTTATTGCTCAGATTGGTTCATTAGAATCTCTTGTCTTGATTTTGCAAGTTTTTGAGGTGAGAAAGATTGAAAATGGTGATTGTCTAGAATTGAAGTTTTTTTCTGTTCTTGGA